ATGTTAAAAGTTCACTGCATCATACATCAATGATACTTTTATTTGCTTTAATCAAATCTTCTAACTTTGACACACAGACACATTACCCTTTACTACTCATTAAAATATTGACAAAAAAGTTTGACCGGGTCATAGTTTTAAAAAAAAGCTGATCATTTTTGTCAACAGAATGTGACATTAATTTTTTTGAAAAATTAGAAGAGCATTTAGAAATTTTTTTTTTGTGCATATTGTTGTCTGTCGAAAGATTTTGAGTTAAAGGGGCTATTTCACTACATACGTTCTAAACGCAACAAACGCAACTTGAAATGGGCTTTAAATTGTCTCAAAAAATTTAGGCAATTATATTCAGTGAACATTTTTGACTGATATTTTTAAATGTCAGTTATGTCGAAGGCGATTTAGTTATCACTGATAATATAAATAGTTATTCCTTTAACAAATACTCTTCTGCAGTATTAAGTCAATTTTACGGATCGATGACTACGTTATAGTGTAAAAAAGTTTAGTAGATAAAACCAGCAGATATAAGTCTTGATGTGATAAATTTGTTGAATTTTTAGGCTTTTTAGTGAAAAGGTGTTATAAATTTTTATTAATCTATGGCTGTAGCAAAGTAAGTTTCTTTCGTATGCTTCCATGTCTATTAACTATAATAGTAAAGCCATCTTCTTATTAGTCTTGTTAAATTTAAGTAAAAATGGCTTGCATTTGTGTTCAAGAACTTTGTCATACCTCTTCTTTAATGCGTTTCTAATGTAAAGAAACGTACTTTCTAACTAGATGATCTTTCCTGTTTTTATACCTTTTTTGATCTTTTTGATGCTACTTCTGCCTTTTGAAACTTCAATTATTATAATTTTAGGTTTTTAACGATAAGTCTTCCTGTTTAGCTGAATGAAAAAGTAGTCCTTAAACAGTTGCCAGCCAGTTTTCCTGTTTCTTTATTTTGACATTTTGAGAGTTTTCATCGGATTATGGCGTGATTACTCTTCTCACCTGTATTACTCAACTATTCGGGGAAAAATTAAGAGGGTTTCACCTTCAATTGCGTATTGTAGAATGTTTTATTGGAAAATATGTAGCTCTCTCACTCTGTTGCAGACAGTGTCCGCCATTTTTAGTTCCTGTTTTGATAAATATAATTTTTAGATTATAATTGTTTTCTAATACTAACTTTAATTTACATAAGGATGGGGTTTCTCGTCTAATAGCTATGAATTAAAACACTATAAATAATGTTTTGTCAGTATCCTTCACGGAGGTAAAAATATCACAATTAGGTATATTTACGGAAAGCAGTGATTCATATACATTTGAATTGGATGCAGTTGATACGTTAATATCCGCCTAAGAAGAAGTGTTTTAGAGGTAAACACTGAATTTGAGTTAAGTGGAAACATAAATTCGAAAAATCGATTACATTCTTAATTTTCTGATTAATGGGGAACGTTTTATAAAGTAATAATTATATTTGAGTGATGAAACTGTATTTTAAATTCTAAAGAATCATTATTGTTATAGATCTTATTCCTCAGAAATTCAGTTTAGTAATTGCTGAATGTCTCCAAAATGATGGTTTGAAATACCGTTCGCCAATTCATTAACTGCAACACTTCATTCCTATACTGCTTTCTCTATTCAAATATCAAAAAAATATATGTATAATTGCAGTGCAAATTTTAGGGAATATACCAGTCAAAAGAAGAGCGAAAAAGCAAAGCCTCGCAGTCAACAACAGTGAATTACCAATTTCTATTCTGTCATCTTCTTAGAAAATGTGTTATTTTTTTTTCTTTTTTTTTTTTTGGTCAACAGTTACATCGACTAAGTTTTTTAGCAAAACAGTCATAACTGAGTTATCAAAGCAGTTGGGCAGAATATTTTTAAGGATGTAGATCAGTAGTATGGTATTGTCCGACAAGTCGTATATATAGTGTGTAAGACAGTTGTATTTTTATTTTTTATGTATTTACTTTTTTTTCTTTTATAATAACATTTATAATGGTAAAGTGACTGAACTGCTGCATACAAATATCTTCAAAATAAAACAAAAAAAAAAGTCTTAGTAAACACGGAACAATCGATGGTACAGAAGAAATAATATAATATAATTTTACATTCAACAATGGACTAGAATAGACCGTAATTATATCAGTGATCCATTGGGGGAAACGGAAAGCAAATAAGCAAAAAAAAAAA